CCTCAAATCTAAGGTGAGAGGGGCTGGATTACACTGATAAACTGAGGTGGAAGAAGCACTCGATGTTTCCTATAATAATTATGTTCCTCTACTTAAGTAATATTTTGTAGGACCTTTACTTGTAATGTAGTATCTCAAGATCATAGTTTTTGTACCTTTACTTAAGAAAAGGATCTGAGTACTTGATCTCATAACTCTTACCTGTGCAGACCTGCAATCTGAAGAATCAGCTGTTGTAATTTCCCTCAGCCCCCAAGCAAAGACTTTTACTTGTTTATGACTCATATGTAGCTCCACGCAGAGCTGGCAGGGTTAAAAATAAATAAATAATAATAATCTGATCCCTTTACAACAAACACAATATACTATTTATTTATTTTTTGGTTAGTAATCGTGCTAGTAATCCCCAAATATATTGTTTTACTAGTAATCTGATAGAGTAATCCATTACTCCCCTGACTCTACCTGACTCCAACCTCTGTCTCTCTGCTGCCCCCAGGTGGCTGACGGGACCCCCTGCAGCCCAGACTCCACCTCGGTGTGTGTCCAAGGCCAGTGTGTGAAGGCCGGGTGTGATCGTGTCATCGGCTCCAACCGGCGCTTCGATAAGTGTGGAGTGTGTGGAGGAGACGGATCGACCTGCAAGAAGGTGTCCGGCTCTCTGGAGCGTGCCAGGTAAATATATCTCACGCACAAATGTCTATATGAAGTATCAATATTGGATACTTCCGTCTCTGTAAACATCAATTTGTTGTGCCTCAGTCTGACCTCTGCCGCTCTCTGTTTCAGGCCTGGGTACCAGGATGTTGTCACCATTCCTGCCGGCGCCACCCACCTGGACGTGAAGCAGCGCGCCCCCGGCAACGGTCGTAACGACAACAGCTACCTGGCGGTGCGCCGGCAGGACGGCACCTACCTGCTGAATGGAGACTACAAGCTGATGACCATGGAGACGGACATCGCCCTGCAGGGGGCGCTGCTGCGCTACAGCGGCTCTTCCGCCTCGCTGGAGCGCCTCCGGAGCTTCTCCCCGCTCCCAGAGCCCCTCACCATCCAAGTGCTGTCTGTCGGGGAGGCCCCCAGGCCCCGGGTCAAATACAGCTACTTTGCACCAAGACCCAACAACGCTGCCTCCATCTCCAACGGCAACGGAGGCCGCCGGCACTCCATCAACGCCATCAGGGAGGTGGGTGGAGCCGAGTGGACCCTCAGGGAGTGGGGTCCCTGCTCCCAGACGTGTGGCGGAGGCGTGCAGCAGAGGGAGGTGGTGTGTGCGGACCCCCAGGGCCGGCCCTCCAGAGACTGCCCCGAGGAGCTGCGCCCCCTGGCCTCGCGCTCCTGCTCTGCCCAGCCCTGCCCCTCCTGGCTCCTCGGGGAGTGGTCGGTGTGTTCAAAGACCTGCGGGCGGGGTTTCCGCAAACGGCAACTGCGCTGCATCGGCCCCGAGGGGCGCACACTGACACACGAGAGCTGTGACCCCAAAGAGCGGCCGAGACCCCTGCTGGAACTGTGCAATCAGAGCGCCTGCTGAAGACTGCTGCAGAAAAACACTCTGCCTCCTCTTCTTCCCACGGACAAGCTAAAGAGGCTAATGAATGTTAGCATCCAGAGTCCCACAATGGGTCCTCAATGACTGCAACCTATTTCCCCCTGAATCCATTTTGGGGCCACAGTGGCTCTGCAGCATCACTGGCTCAGTGCAGCACTCAGTGCAGCCTCCCTCAGGAGGAAGAGACTTCCTTGCTGCTTACCGTGCCAATGTCATGCTTGTGTGTGAGCGAGTGGGAGAAAGTGTCTTTTATGTTTTTTTATGCATGTGTATATATATATATGATGTTTGTCCAAGCTGGGCTGGACTGACACATAAGGGGTTTGGGGGTGGGGGAGGTAAATGCAGAGTATATAAAGATAAAATGAAAGAGAAATAGCTCATATTCTACTATACATCCCATCCGGTATGGAAAAAAATAGTCAGTGTTTAGTTTATTTATCACAAACCTGTAGCACTTCATCTTTGTTTTGCCAGCGGCACATTGTAACACCCCGTCGTCTCTAAAGGCCTCAGTACTCTGTACTCTGTGCTTTAGCCATATCTAACCCTTCAATGAGGGAACTCTTCAAAGACCAAAGAGGAGTGTGTGTGTGTGTGTGTGTGTGTGTGTGTGTGTGTGTGTGTGTGTGTGTGTGTGTGTGTGTGTGTGTGTGTGTGTGTGTGTGTGTGTGTGTGTGTGTGTGTGTGTGTGTGTGTGTGTGTGTGTGTGTGTGTGTGTGTGTGTGTGTGTGTGTGGAGACCTAAAGAGGGACTTGTCTCCTGCTACTACTTCATAAGTAAGTCTCTCCTGCCTTCTGCGAAGGCACCCGGTTTCTTTTTTCTACCGAGTCTTTTCCTTTTGTACAGAATATCCAAACATTATTTATTTTTGTACAGCCTGTTAAATATAATCATGTGGCTTTTTTTAATATTATTTTGTATTTGTTATTGAGATCACAGAAGGGAGTAGAATATATAGAGTATTTATACAGTGTTATATATATATATGGTCCTAGGTTCATGAATAAAAGTATCACATTGACTTGTGAAGCACATGTCTTGTGTCTGTTTGTTGTTGCAAGGTGAACTGATTTGCACTCAGTTATTTTATTTTAACAGTGGAGCTGTTTTAATGGGAACTCTGCCAATTCTTCTTCTTTAAGAGTTTAAGACGTAAATGTGTTCCCTCAAAGTGAGAGTAGTGTGAATAGCTTTTAAATGATAATTATGTACTTTCATTAAATGAGGATGCATTTTGTAATTTAGGTTTCATCCACTAGATGGCACTATGTCATCGACTATGCTTTTGTTTTGCGCAATTAAAAAATACACACATTGCAGGAAAAATTATTGGATGGCTAATTTGGAACTTCCGCCATTTAAAAAAAAAAGTAAAAAATCAAAGATCAATAAACATTGAATACAATAATGATGGCAAACTTTGAGAACAACATATACTAAAAACAAATCAAGAAAAAGAAAATGTGAATAGGAAAAGATTAAGATATTGATACTCAATTTCTTTAAAACACTATTATATTCACAGAATAAGTGTTGTATTTTCCACTGCTTTGTCCTCTCCTCTGGGTTGAATTTCCTGCCCCCTAACTTTCTGATCCAAAGTACCTCAACCCCATCACTTAAAATCTGAAGCCTGTATGTGTGGCACTTCCTGTTTGGCCCCAAGGAAGACGCTCCCCGCCTCCTCGGCTCCCACTGCAGCACAAAGGAAATCATTATCCTGAAATTATGGATGGTTAAGAAGAAGATTGGCCATGTCTGTAATCAGCATAATGGCATAATGTGTCAGTAAACAAGTCGTGTAGGGCAACATGTATACTGCACGCTCTTTTTCACATTGACAAAGAAAAATCGGCATTAATATGTATGCAGGTAATGAAACCTTTTTTTTTTTATATATACCTACTGATTTTTGAAGTCTGAGAGTCCCAGAAACATGTGGAAAGCGTTATGAATCACCGCTGCTCCATGTGGGTGGCATCTCTCAAATTATCTGCATCCCTTTGCCACCCATAGCTGCCAATTAAAGTGTAAATCATGGCAAATTGATTGAACCAGGATTCAGATTAAATCATCTTAATGGCCAAACGTTTAATTTACAAAGCATCCCTTTAAGTAACTCTTTATTGCACACCTTTTTGGATGGTGTACCTTTACATACATGTTTTTGTACACTCATTGCAAAATCTACAAAGTTGACTTGTTATTTAACATGTGAGTGTGTTTGAAATGTCACCAGTGTGTAGCAGAAGGGGGAATTGGATCAAGTGGCCCCATCCCTGACACAATAGATGTGACCTAACAACAGAATTATTTTCTCCAGGTGTGAAGCGGCCTGCTGACGATTTTGATTTTATCTTTAAAAGAAGGTCGTGATGTGTCTTTAATACTACGTGAAGCATGTGACACGCCACGCGCACATAAATACATAGAACCCATGGAAAACGTTTTCCCTCCTGCTGCGTAAAGCGTGACAGACATAACCAGGCTAAGGCCTTCAAAATAAAAGCTCAAACTAATGTCACATTTATATAAAAAATGCTATTACTAGACTTAATTGAATAACTTGACTTGTTAACATTAAGATTTCAATTAAAAAACTACTATTTATAAACATTTATTTTATGTCTGCAATGACTTTTATTTTTTATAATCGATTATTTGACTGTAGCTATGGCCCATACAATAGTGAAAACGTCCATTATAGCTTGACAAAGTTCAATTGAATGTATTTGAATTTCTTGTTTTGTCAGAGCAGATTAAGTTTAATATGATATTTGTTATGGAAATAATTATCATAAGACGCCAATTAGTAACATACAGGACAAACCTCGATGTCTGTTTACCTTCTTTAAGGACACAGGCGGCTTAGCCAATAATGTTATTGTTCCCATTCTGTGACCGGTCAATACTGGGATACAGATGGTCTGTGTTGTGGGTACACTGGGACACTTCCTTCTCTGTATTCGTGGACTCCAAGGTAAAATCTTCGAGGTCATAAGTGTCCGAGGCAAGTAGCTCTGTGTTCCCACACTGTTTAGGCTATCTCCTCAAATATGTTGTTTACTCTCTGCGAAACCAGTTAGATGGGCTGGCAAGAGAGAGGCTCTCCAGAATTGACGTGGCAACTCTACCGTGAAGTCAGAACCTCTGACTCTTGGATTTGTGATGTGAATACTCTGGTACCAACTCCAAATAAATCACAGTGGTTTGACATCAAAGCTCCGACTCTTCCCGTGTCCTGAGTCGGTGACTCCACTGCATGCTACACAGAAGTTTCCTCTACAATATTTACTAGAAAAGGCATTATATCTCCTTACTTATGGGGCCAGTTGTGCACAAACAATACCATTTGAATGATTTGTAACGTAGTGATTGCAGTGTTAATTAGACTCTTATTTTGAAAACGTTTTTGTGTCAGATCTCGGCTGCCTTCCTCGTCAGTGTAAACTCAACATGGTAATGTGAGCAAACCGGGGGAGGGGATCGGAATAAAACGCCCGTAGGTGTGGGAGCAGGACGGGGCAGAAACACTGCACACACGTGGAGGAACAAATGGAACTGCACTTTTTTTTCTAAGGAGACATGTTTCCCGAAGTCTGCTGCTGGGTTCAAAGCGGTAGGCTCCAACAATGATCCTGGAGGAGCCAAAAAGGTGACTGGGAAGAAGCGACTTTTCTTAGTTAGTGTGATCCACTGCAGATTGATTGAGAATAAAAGCGCACAGGAGAGCCGGGGTCATGGAGAGCCCCTGGAGGAGGACGCAGACTGAGAGCTGGGGGGTGTTGAGGAGCTCGCTGCTGCTTTGTTTATTCTCCGGTGAGTTTAATCAATACATTTACAAAGAGCTACATGTCTTTTCTTTATGTTTGTGATAATGGTAAGACTTCCAGATGTGTGCAGCTTTGGGGAAGCGGAAGTTCCACCGATCACATTTTGGGAACTCCTACACACTAGCTTGAAAACAGCTGGAAACTTTGATCTGGATGGGGGGGGCAGGGGAGAGGAGCTGCTGTGTGTGTGTGTGTGTGTGTGTGTGTGTGTGTGTGTGTGTGTGTGTGTGTGTGTGTGTGTGTGTGTGTGTGTGTGTGTGTGTGTGTGTGTGTGTGTGTGTGTGTGTGTGTGTGTGTGTGGTGTGTGTGTGTGTGTGTGTGTGTGTGTGTGTGTGTGTGTGTGTGTGTGTGTGTGTGTGTGTGTGTGTGTGTGTGTGTGTGTGTGTGTGTGTGTGTGTGTGTGTGTGTGTGTGTGTGTGTGTGTGTGTGTGTGTGTGTGTGTGTGTGTGTGTGTGTGTGTGTGTGTGTGTGTGTGTGTGTGTGTGTGTGTGTGTGTGTGTGTGTGTGTGTGTGTGTGTGTGTGTGTGTGTGTGTGTGTGTGTGAAGGACATGGTGCCATCGTCCCCCAGCGTGTGGAGAGACAGGACCTCCGAGGACCACCCACACGGAGAGAGTCAGAAGTCTGCTTTTAAAACCGCATGCAGGCACTGACATGGAAAGATTAGCTGCAGGGAGGTAGAGTAACATTCAAAAGTTGGATGAAGGATACAGTTAAGACTGCAGACAAACCTTTATTGTGAACATAGATTGATTTCTACATCATTAAGGTGTGCACACTTCACACTTTTTGGGTGTATACAGACCCTGCTTATATCAGTTAAAAGGTGCAAAAAACCCTGTTCTTGTGCACTTTCATTTACGATTTCTGCATCATAACCATCAAACCTGCTTATATCAGAAAAATCACGACTTAAAAGTGTAATAAACACTTCACCTTGAGTTGTGCAAACTGCATCCCAGCTCTATTTAACATAATGCAAGTTTTCTTTTTAAAAGCATCCTCCTGTGGTAATTACAAGGCAGGGCTCCCAAGCCCGGAAATGTGCATACATGCCTGCAGGCACACATCCCATGTGTGTGAGTGATTGCTGAGAGTAAGCAGATCTCCAGCATTGACATACACACACACACACACACACACACACACACACACACACACACACACACACACACACACACACACACACACACACACACACACACACACACACACACACACACACACACAGCATGCAACAAGTGTGTGAATAATTACTGAACCACTGCTAGTTGCCATATTATCATTACTGTTATTATCATATTCAAGAACAGGAGAACATTGAAAGTATTTGATATTTAAAAATGTGGATGCATTAGTGCAGCTAGCTGACTGGGTCCCAGTATGAGTTCATTACAGAGACCTTCTTTTATTCTCATTTCCCCCGGTGCTCCACAGGTATTGATTGCTTCTTTCTAAATCTGTGCTACTCCACTTCTCGGCACATAGTGGCCTGTGTCCACACTTTTAAGCCTGTCTTAGATTGAGGTGTGTGTGCTTTTGAATTTCGTTCCTGAAAGCTATTTCTCATCGTTTCCTCCAGGGAACAGATTTTTAAAACATCCGGACATGGCCTAATCTCTTATTTTAAGGGCTTCTTTCATTTTAATGAACACTTGAGACGGGTCCCAAAGTTATTTTTATCACCACCTTTTCATCTTTGCAATCAACTTACCTATTTGTGTGTTGCAGGCAGCAGTAAAGCCCAGTGTGAAGGCTGCATAGAGTACTGCTGCGATGGGTCTCCACCTTTCTGCTGCTCCTACTACGCCTACGTGGGCGACGTCCTCTCGTAAGTAATCACAGGGACACAGCAAACAAATGAAATGCACGACTGACGGCTGAAGGGGATCTATTATGTTCATATTTGTGTTTTTTGCCACGATTTCTCTCCTTTTGATCCACTGGTCGACTCGCTGCTCGGTTTCTAAATGAGAGGTCACACACCAGCTGTCTTTTAACCTGACCCTTCAGAGGTCTCACCTTTTGACCCCTGCCTGTTAGCCTTGATTCAGCCCAGCTGCTCAAATGCTTTCACCTCATGCTGCTTCCCTTCACCATGAAGCTGTGTTCAGTTTCCATCATCAGTGCATCTGTGAAAATTGTTTATTTGTGCAAAACCTTAAATGACCAGCGGCAAAGTCTTGTAAACACCGCTGATTCTGACTAACGCTGAATATAATAAAATGTTAATTCAAAGACTCCCCTTCTGTGAACACACACACACACACACTCCAGTCCGTCTCCATGGCAGCTGCCTCCTCACTTTTATTTTGTACAGTTTTATGTCTTATATATATTTATGTTAGCTCGAGCATTGTAGGAGGAGCCTGCATATGACCACAAAGCCTTGAATCTGTGTGTGTGTGTTACAGGGGCACTGCCATCTCTGGGATCGTGTTCGGGGTGGTGTTCCTGATGGGGGCGGTGGCGGCCCTGTTCCTGTGTGTGTGTATGTGCATGAAGAACGGGCGGGGGGCGCGGGTCGGCGTGTTCAGCACCTCCTACATCAACACTGTGACTCAGGGGTACCCAGGTGGGTCTCGGACAAACACAAAAAATACACTTTTTAATAACATAAACAAGGCAAATATATGTTTTTATTTATAATGAATAGCTCTGGCACTACTAAATAATGGGGTAGTTGTATAGTATTACAGTTTCATATAGTGTGATTAAACACTTATTTGTAGGTGTCCATTTCAGTCCTCAGGCGCCCTCATTTGAACAGAAAACAGCAGAATGTGTTTTATGTTACAAGATCCACCTTGGCCTTGAGCATAATCCCTGACAAGTAACACAAAGAGAGAGTGGGTTCCTTTCAAAATAAAAGCCATTAGACTTGACAATGACCTCTGTTCGAGCACTTTAGACATAGATATTCCCAGAAGCATGAACTTCTTCCCCCTCCGCACCCACCGTTTCACATCTGATACTCCCTGTTCCCGCTGGAAAGGAGCAAAGCGGCGACAATGTTCCCACACTGTCCTCGCAGGTACATCAGAGTCTGTGCTCTGAATACGCTGCTTTTATTTCTGGGGCTCATCATTTATTCATCACGCTTTATTCTCCCCTGTGTATTGCCTTCATGCAACACTGGACTGCACCGGCCCTGCAGCTCTGATCGTGTTCCATACACAAAGGACCAAAAACATGTAATATGAATGCATGTAGCTACAGTGATATTAATAACCTTATGTCCCAATAAAGGATGTTAATCAATATTTAAATATGATTTTAATTGATTTAGTTAGTGCTGCTTTTATTATTTACGTACACCTTTCCTTTATGTAATGGTGCTTTAAATTGATCAAATATTAATTCTCACGTTGCAAGGTCTCATTCTGGGCTACACAACGGTTTTATAGACCTTTTTAAATGAAGGTAACTCTTGCAGTACGTTAGATTGTGAGTTATTCATAATCGTGGCGTCATAAATGTAAGGTTTTGCTCATGTCACGCTTTCATCTTTTCTTTTATCTCGGCTGCTGTGATGTTTCAGTGAATAATGCACGTTCCCCTGGTGAGACTGATGCATCATGGTCAACCAAGGGATTTCTTTAGGGGCCATATTTTTACACCGAGTAAAGTCCCTTTTTTTACAGAGTGCAGTTTCTCTGTTTTACCACTAGAGGGTGGCACTTTCCCATCGTACACCTTGTTAAATGAGTGCAGGTTTCCCCACATTATAATCGAAGACACATTCTGCTCATGTTCAGGTTCATATCAGTATGTAGTGTCTCTACTGTGACATGTTGCCATGCTTTAATGTTCAAAAAGCTCTTTATTTTCCTCATACTGCCTGTGCTGCAGCACCTCTCTTCACCCTGTGGAACGCACTACAGGAAAAGGGAAACATCCAAAAAGCATGACAGACTATTTATTTTCTTTATTTCTCTTCCCAAACTCAGGTCCTCCACCTCCATACACCTACGACTACGAGATGTACCCTCCCTCTCTGCACCCGCCACCTTACACCCCGTCTCAGCGAAACTCGGCCAACTACTCCCCTCCTCCTCCGTACCCGGGATGTACCCGCAAGTGAATCCCTGCACAGACCCTCTAGCAGTCATCTAAAAGGAACTGATCGATGTCTCCACACCTGGATCTCTGGCCTCCAAAGACAATTAAAGAGGCTGAATGTATTCCACATTTAAAAAGAAAAAGGGGGGGGGGGGGGGCAGTGCAATATTGTTCAGCAGGCCAGGTGTGAATGTCACTGCCTTTCTGCAGGAGTCTAGACCAAATGTTGGGGAAATTAATAATAATTGAACATTCTCATAGAGTTAGCAGCCGTGCTAGTCTGCAGCTGGCACTTCCTAATAACCAATACTCTCATTCATCCCCGACTGAGCACATCAAAGGCTCTGCGCTGCTTTGATGCAGGTGAAGACCACTTTTGTCAGCATGGAGCGGTACCTTACATCACTGGAGGAACATCGTTTTTTTTAAGGGAGATTGTTGGGTATTTCTATATTACTTTGTAAGAGTAAACCCCAGCTCGGTTCAAATATACCAAAACCCAGTGAACAAAGATAACAGTACTCGAGTTTCAAGTTTACTTGCTGCAAGGAGAATCAGCGAGTGACAGGTCATGTCAACTCCAAAACCAACTCTGCTCCTCTTCTCTCAGTGCAGTCTCTTTATTACAAAAATACAGTTACAAATCATGCATGAGGAAGTGTATGTAACCAACGGCTTTATTTGTCAATGGGAGTCTTGTGACTTGCAATCATGTGTGTGTGTGTGTGTATGGTCCACAGAAAAGGGGAACAGACTATTCTCTGTTCCTCTTTTCTGACTATGGTCTCTTTACAACATAAAATGACAACATATTATGAAAACACGTTTATCCTTCAATAAACTCTAACATTCCCTCCTGTTTTTCATAATTACTAGCTGGTTACAGTGTCTTTATTACTTTCAGAATTAATTCACTTGTTTTTGACATTTTCGAACCATTCGTCATATGACAGACAGTAACCTAGCTTTAAGTCTTACACATTGGAGGTTAGGTGAGTATATTCGTCCTTCTGAGAGGGGTCTGTGTCAGTATAGTCATCGTTATCTGTCTGTTGCAACATCGTATATTGGACAAGAGTGTTGGTAACTATTTTACCAACCATAGCTTTAACACATGGTATAATACAAGCCATAGCACAGCACACAAGGATGACAACACATATGATTGCAACAAATCCCATCACGAGCTTTTGAACCCAGCTCCCTGAGAGTAGCCAATTGAACCATCCGGTCTCAAGAGAGGCATGTCTGTCTTGGCCCATAGCTGTCTGTAGGGCTTTGAGAGTAGCCATTGCATCTGTCATGTTTTGGGAGTGGACATTGTCGGTGATATATGTACAACAGATTGTGTTCAAAAGGATACACGTACCTCCTACTGAGGCAGTGAGTAGATCAAGGGCCATGCGGTGCTGTAGCACCATGGTTCTGAGTGAGTCTTGTTCGAGGTTCTGTTGTTCGTTTACAACGATGGAATTATTTACAAACATGCCGAACCGGTAATCAAAGGTTTCGAGTCTCAACATGTTCTTCGCTACGCCTAAGGCAGGAGTCAATGCTAATATTACCTTTCCACTGGTGGACCAGTGTTTGAATTCATCAGGGACATCTTTTCCCCATACTGAATCATGTTTTTTGAAGGCAGGCATGGCATTTCTCCTCCTGCGGGTGTGGTTAAGGTGTGGTTCTATGTCTATCACGAAGGTGTGGTCGCTAACAAATATTGGTGCGCACGTGCCTGTCCAATTTATTGGCAGAACTGGATAAGCGTTGTTGCCACACAGCCACCATCCTCCTTGTACCCACCATGTACCATTAGATTGTTTGCTCAAATAGACTGGAGCCCCTTCGCCATTAACAAGTGTCTGGTTACAACCAGTGGTGTTTCCCATTGGTACAGAACCTTCTGTCTGACTGTAACACATAGGGTGTATAGCTTCATTATTTGGCATGACTACCTTTTGTCCTGTCATTTTACGTGGCACTGTCATGTTAAAGTTCACCCAAAATATCTTATTACAAGTGCCATTGCTTAAACCTGGGGCATATGGATTCACATCGTTGACTTTTATCCCTGAGTGCTGGTATCCTACACCTCCCATGGTAGCAAAACATTTAGCTTGTGATTTACTCATCCTTTTACCATACAGAGTTACTTGTCCAGTTGACCATGGCATGTGGGAACAAACATAACAATTTGAACGCCCTGTCTTTGTAACAAGTTGATGGACATAGGCATACCAGGCATTTGTCATCCTAGGTGAGCGTGCAGTTTTGTCGTTGTGGTTCCATGGGTCATCGTTGAGTAATGACCATTTTTTCTCTCGATGGACCTTTTTTTTTGTTGAGGATTCCTCACTCAATTGTCTTATAGTCATTAGCGTCAGACCCAGCAGGGTCACTACAAACAACACCTTTCCCAACATAGTCTATTTGTGATAGTGGTTCTGTTGTTTTCTTCACCGGGGTTGAGACCAGTATTTCCTAATGAAACACCGCCCTTTGTAGCCGGACTTCCACCACTTATCCATCGTTAAGTTGGAGAGGTATTATCTTTTTGCAGTGGCTCTGATGTATCCACGTAGTTCTTTCGGCGATTTTTAGTGCAGTCGGTGTTGTCAGCAGTACCGTGTAGGGACCGTCCCACCGTGGACAGTGCCAATGCTTCCTCTTAATCACCTTCACGAGGACCTGGTCACCAGTCTGCACTCGAGTGTCCTGCAAGGGAGTAGAAATGTCTGGCAGGTTATTTGTTCGAGCTATCTCATTGCTTCTGAAGAGTCTGCTCATCCATTCAGCTAATGTAGTCCCTGCCTCAGCATCACCCTCCTCCCTCACCTCGTCTGTGATTGGTAATCTGAATTGCCTTCCTGTTATGATCTCAAAGGGAGACAACCCTTTTGCCGTGGGCGTGATTCTCATGCATGTTTCTACCAGAGACACACATTCCACCCATGGTCTTCCTGTTTCCTCCATTGTTTTCCTTAGTCTTAACTTTACTGTTCCGTTTGTTCTTTCCACTAAGCCTGCACTCTGTGGATGATATGCACAATGGTTTTTTAATGTTATCCCCATATGTTCGGACAGTTTGGTAATAACCTGATTTACAAAATGAGACCCATTATCACTGTACAGTTTCTCTGGAATACCTCTGTTTGGTATTATTGTCTTGCATATGGCTTTTGCTACGGTAATAGCGTCTGCATGTTTTGCTGGGAATATTTCAACCCACTTTGAAAACGGACATATCATTACCAAACAGTATTTGTACCCTTGGCATGGTGTTAGTTCGATGAAGTCCATATGCATGTGTTGAAATGGGTATGTTGGTGGAGGGAACTTTCCTCTCTGTGGTCGCTCATTGCCTTGAGCATTGTGTCTGCAACATACTACACAGGCTCTACAAAAGTTTTTAGAAAATGTAATGTAGTTGTATGTATGGAAATGTTCATTTATTATTGTCACCATCCCTCCTGTTGAGACATGGCACGGCCCATGACTCAAATGAGCTGCTGTTTTGTAGAGACTAACAGGGAGTACTATCTTGTTGTTTATTCTGAATGTTCCCTCAGGGTCTGTGGTTGCTCCATCTGTCAACCATTTCTTCTTTTCTCTGTCGGGTGCGTTGTTCTGCATATCCCTTAATATCACAAGAGGTATTGGTTGTGAAACACTTTCCCCCTTCTGCAAGAGGATATGGAACCCATATTCGCCCATAGCTGCTAGCTTCGCTACCTTATCCGCGTGTGCATTGCCAAGTGTTACTGCATCCTTCCCACTGGTGTGCGCAGCGCATTTGCATATAGCAATGCTTTTCGGCAACAACACCGCTTTTAAAAGATCAGTCAGCAGCTGTGCATGGGTGACTGGTTTTCCTGTTGATGTTTTCATGCCCCTGCGGGCCCATTGGGCTGCAAATATATGTACTGTTGAGTGCGCATACTGGCTGTCTGTCCACATAGTCACATCTTTTCCAACCCCCGCTTTGCATGCTTCTGTAAGAGCTACTAATTCCGCTGCTTGTGCAGAATATGTGTGGGGGAGTCGGCCTGCTTTTATGACCTGTGAGTGTGATACAACTGCAAACCCTGTTTGATTTTGGCCTGTTATAGATTTAGAACAGGACCCATCCACAAACCATGTTTCGCCACTGAGTAGTTGTATGTCTTTCAAATCTGGTCTTGGTTTGCATGTTCTGTCAGTCTCTTCTTTACAACAGTGTGGTTCTCCATCTTCTGCTGTAGGTATTAATGTGGCTGGATTTAAGATATTACATCTTTTTATCACAATGTGTGGTTGTGACATTAGTGTAGCTGTCAGTGCCAAATAACGTGCAGGTGATAAGAAAGCCATTTTGGTGTCATGTAACAACATGGTGACTGCGTGTGGAACCATCAGTGTGAGTGGGTGGAACAAAACTATTTCTGCTGTACAATGTACCGCCATTGCTGCCGCACATACTGCTTGTACGCATACTGGTAATGCTTGTGCTACTGGGTCTAACCTTTTAGAGTAGTAAGCGACAGGCCTTAGTTTTGTGCCGTGTTTTTGTGCCAATACTGATGTCATAAACCCTTTTTTGCAGTCAACTGTTTGTACAAATGGTTTTTCATAGTCTGGTAATGCTAACACTGATGACCCTACGAGACACTGTTTAGTCCTTTCAAATGCAGCTTCTGCCTCTTGTGTCCATTCTATCTTGCCGGACATTTTCATGTCATTGTCTGAGTATATGCAATCTAGTAGGGGCTGAGTCATTCCTGCGTAGTCTGGAATCCATGCTCTGCAATAGTTAGTCAGCCCAAGGAATTGCATCATTTGTTTTTTTGTTGTTGGCTTTGGTGCGTTTAACACCGTCTGTTTCCTCTCTGAGTGTATGCGTCTCCCTTCTCGGTTTAAATTGTGGCCTAAAAAGATCACTTCCTCTTTCACAAACTGAAGTTTCTGTCTTGAAACCTTGTTTCCTGTTTTGGCCAAATGTGTCAATACTTGTAGTGTGACTTTTGTGCTTTCTTCCTGTGTGGGTGACGCAACAAGAATATCATCTACATATACCAACATCTGCGATGTGTCAGGTATCTGTAATGTAGCCAAACAATTTGCTATTTCTCGTGAAAAGATTGTTGGGCTATCCACATACCCCTGAGGTAATCTGGTGTATGTGTATTTTGTTCCTTCATGTGTGAACCCAAACCATCCTTGTGAGTCTTTTTCTACAGGAATGGAGAAAAAGGCATTGCTCAAGTCTATCACTGAGAACCATGCCATATTTGGCTTAAGGCCGTTCATTAACGTGTGTGGATCTGGTACTGTTTGGGCTGTGCTTTGTACAGCATCATTTACTGCTCTTAAGTCTTGAATCATTCTCCATGACTGCCCATCAGCCTTTTTTACTGGGAAGATGGGGGTATTGCATGATGCATCAGGGCACTCACGCAGGATCCCTGCTTTTAGCATTTCTTCAATTACAGGTTTGATGCCAACTTTTGCATCCTCTTTTAAGGGGTATTGTCTTATGTTAGGTCTGTAGTTAGTTTTTGGTCTAACGTGTACAGGTTTTGCGTTCACCATGCGACCTACATCACATTTTCCTTGTGACCATACGCATGGCGGCACCGTTTTCAGGACCTCTAAGGCCTCTTCACTTAGCATACATCATTGTTGTTCAGGGTCGTCTAGGTGGGCGCGTGGTGTCATCACTAGAGTAAACCCTAGAGTTTTGCGCTTTAACCCGCCTCCAGTTTGCCAACCGTTTTTGTCATCTGTCCATTTTGTTATCCTGTTACCTCTAGCCACTAATAAACCTAAGTCTCTCCATGAAGTCCCTGGGCCCCTAGCTACTGATATGTGTGGCGTGGAACCTGGTTCCATTATCAAGGCAGTGGTTGATGGGACCCTAGCGTCAATTACAACATCCCCGTGTTGGTTTGCATACATCGAGTGGAACACTACCCTCTGTGGTGTCAGTCGATGCACGAGCACATCATAGTCTTTGTCTGGGCCAGGGGTGTTCTTGTACTTTAGTGTAACGTGCAATGCGTCAGGTTTCATTACTTCTTGGCCATGTTGTGGGGTGAATAGTGTTAACAGGTGTTCACCTGTGTTTGTCACGTCAGGTTGTGGCATGTCTAGTGACCAGTAGTAGTTGGGGGTGTTTATGGATTTTTGAAGGAAGACCTGGTCTTCCACCTTTTCTCCGGGCCCTACTGCTCGCATTCCCCCTTTGACTGGTACTACACTGATTTTTAACATTTCCATGCCGTCTCTCCCTAGCAAATTGACAGGGCAGTTTGAGATGAACACAAATTTGAGGGATGCCTGGAGGCCTGACCTTCTATCTTCCATAAAAAGTGGCTTTGAAATCGACCTCTGATTTATGTGTCCATTTGCTGATTTTACAAACATAGTGCCAGTTGGTGGCCACATTCTTTGGACCTCTTTGTTCACTACTGATGAGTCTGCACCGCTGTCACATAAAAATTCTAATTTTTCCCCATTGATTTCGATTGTTCTGGTAGGTTTAATACTGTTGTCTGACAGATTCAGTAATACTTCAGAAAGGTCAATGTGATGTGTGTGGACGTCCTCTTCTTCCTTTTCTACGTCTAGTCAGTTGTCATAACTATGTAGGTTATGTGAAGGGGGGGGGCCATGTCTTTCGTCTTTGTACTGTCCCTTTTGTCCCCCTTCTTTTATCTGTGACATCTGTTCCTCACAGTCCCTCGCCATGTGCCCCTCCTTTCCGCACCTGTAGCAGAGGAATTTGCCTTCTGCGTTTCTGCCTCCTCCTCTGCCTCTGCCTGCTCCTCTACCATTCCCTCGTCCTCTGTTAAACCCGCCTCTCCCCTGTTCTGGTCCCACAAAGAAAATCTGATTTTCTTCCCCATCTTCTCCTATGAAGAAAGCTGATGCTGACGCTTTCTTATGTCTTTTTTCTTTGATCTGGGTTGCTGCATGTTCTGCATAATTTAGGCACTCTTGTAAGTCGCATGTCCTATGGTTAACATTATGCTTGCGGATAAAGTCAGCAATACCTGGGTGGAACCCATTCATCAAGCTTTGTTTCAGCTGCTGCACATATGGGGAGTCAACAGCATTGTTGGGTGGAATTCCGCTATGGATACGGAAACAATCTTCCATTCTGATTCTGAAATCTTGTACTGACTCTTTTTCTCCCTGTTTACACCCTGAGACTTTAGTAAAGTCTCGTCTCAGTGCAAAAACCCTCTCGATTGAAATATTTACGGGAGCGAGTGCATTTATGAGGTCCTGCTGACCTGGTTCCAGGGGGTTTCCATTGGGCGAGGACCCGGTGAAATCTCCCTTTACTCTGGCCCATTCGTGGCCAAAAATTGTCATAAGGGTTCTTAAAACTTCATGTCCATTTAAACCATATGACGCTATTAATGCAGTATGGTCAAGGACAAACTGCGCCGGGTCCTGTTTGTATGGAGTCAGTCCCTCACAAGCCTTTTTACACTCATCCATTGTCCATGGGCGGAACACTCTTAACATTCTTTCTTGGTCATCACCAACTCCATAGTGCGGGTTGGCCACTTGTACTAATGGATAAGCGTCACCCTGATATGCTGTTCCATCGAAGGATTGTTCTGCTTCTCTTAATTCTTCAACAGGATATAACTTGGTTTCCCCTTTATATTTTCTGGTGTGCAGTGGGCTTAATGCATCTGCCATTTCTTTGTTGATGCGTTTTTGTGTCTCTCTTTCCCTGTCTTTTCTCTCTTTCTCTTGCTTTCTTTTTATTCTTTGCTCCTGTGCTTTGTGTTCTTCCACTATCGCTCTCTCTTTCTCGCGGCGTACAGCGTCAACTGACCCTGAACGCCCTGTCTCCTCGTCTGCTTTCACTGAAACAGCCGCTGCTATCATACCTTCTTCTGCTCCACCTGTCCTTTTATGGGCTTGTTCAGCCCATAAAGCTGCGACTCGCAGTTGAGCTTCTAACTTCTTTCTTTTCTTGCCTTGTGTTGTTCCAGCTGTTTCTGCTCTCAATTTGTCGCTTAATTCTCTTACTGCTGTTTTCTCCAACTTTCCTCGGAAGCCGTACAGTTTATACCATTTGCTACAATAACTGGTGCTGCCATGACTATATATTTCCATATATCTCATGTCCCCTGTAGCGGCAGGCTTACTCCCATTGGACCCCATTATTCTAGCTTTGTGTTCCTACTGGACAACGTGCCGGTCAGAACCTAATTCCTAATTCACCACTAGTGTACTTCAACAGACCACAGAGTTTTTGTTATCACCGTTAGGTTTCCACTCTGTGCGCTGATTCCACCTGGTGACACTTTTACACACTACTTTCACTCAATCACTCATAAGTGTACCCAAAGACACGTCAATTTCTACCTCCTTAAATGGTGGAGTAACCTTTCTCATAAGTGTACCCAAAGACACGTCAATCCTCCTTAAATGGCGGAGAAGCCTTTCTCTACCTCCTTAAATGGTGGAGAAACCATGTATATCAACTTTTATCTTACCCGTTATCTGTGGTCACTGGTCCGGTTGGATTCCGTCAATCGTGCCGAGGATGAGGGAGGTTGGACATATAAGCACCGGCCCGGCCACGAATTCTGCGTCCCGGGTCTTTCTCGGGGTCGGCTGATGATCCCGGCTGTCGACAGACTTGCGGCGTGTCTTTTCCCTCCTCCTTCCCGTCACGATGTGTTGGATTCCGGCTCCGAAGGACCAATTAATGTTGGGTATTTCTATATTACTTTGTAAGAGTAAACCCCAGCTCGGTTCAAATATACCAAAACCCAGTGAACAAAGATAACAGTACTCGAGTTTCAAGTTTACTTGCTGCAAGGAGAATCAGCGAGTGACAGGTCATGTCAACTCCAAAACCAACTCTGCTCCTCTTCTCTCAGTGCAGTCTCTTTATTACAAAAATACAGTTACAAATCATGCATGAGGAAGTGTATGTAACCAACGGCTTTATTTGTCAATGGGAGTCTTGTGACTCGCAATCATGTGTGTGTGTGTGTGTATGGTCCACAGAAAAGGGGAACAGACTATTCTCTGTTCCTCTTTTCTGACTATGGTCTCTTTACAACATAAAATGACAACATATTATGAAAACACGTTTATCCTTCAATAAACTCTAACAGAGATGCAAATGAAGCTTTATTATATTTTAAGAAAAATCTTTCCAGGACACAGTGCAGACATGAAAAGTGACCTATTTTTAATAAAACTTGATTTATTGTGACTTAAGAGGAAGCATATGATCACTATTATGTGTAGACTTGAACATATGGCATTATACTGACTTTAATGGCAACTTGTTGGCAATGAACTGGTTTTTACTGCCTTACTTGAATCAATGTGATGGTGGAAACTAAACTGGGGGTCCCACTATGTTCAGTTTGGTCAAGTAATTAAATACAATTGTGTTTTATTTTGTAGGCTGATTTAAGGTTTGAAAGAGGACCCCACTGTGATACATGTGATGGATGACTGTGAAAAATGGAAGGGATTTAGGTTTGATACTAATAATGTATCAGGTAGATGATTTTGTGTTTACTGGCTGTCTTGTATATTAAAGATGTGATTAAAGCGTTTTTAAAGTATAAAACAATGAGATGTTATTTATGTGAATGCATGTGCGTTGGCTGGGACAATAGATGTTGAAGTGAAAATGTGTGGGTATGTGCGTCAGAGATAACGTGTGTGTGTGTGTTAATCCCACTCCGCTGGTCAGGTGACTCGTTGCTGAGCAGCTGTGCAGCCTCGGTATCACCATCAGACAACGGGAGTCACCGGCGCTGCACACACTCTGCTTCTCACGTTAAACGTAAAACCGCTCGGTGAAACGCCGCCTTTAGGAGGTTCGTGTCCGCGAAACGACATGGGGGACCGAGTAGCTTTACTGCTGCTGGCTGTAGCGGCTTCGGCTCTGGCTGCCGAGGTAAGAAAAATATGTTTTTGTGAGGTATTTCCACCATATTGTTGCTGCATCAAGCTAGCTGGAGTTAGCTTCAATTCAACCGGAAGTTAGTTGACTGTGCCTTCAAAGTAAAAGCTCTGATTGTTTAAGGCGAAATCAAGGGGAGGTATTTTATCAGGATACTTGAATTTGATCAAATTATGTAACTAAAAGTTTAAGTAGGAGTAGTGGAGACATCTTTTTTCTCAGAGTACACAACATGACTTGCTTCGTACCACCAAACATTAACTTTGTAGCCCATTAAAAAAGGCAGGTCCTTTGTATTGAAGGTTTTAACCGGAAGTCTTGTGGTAACGTTTATCTAGCTTGTCACTGTGACTGAATGCTTGGCTATTTCTAAATAAAGACCACACGTTGTTTCGTTAAACCACCTAAATATTTAGATATTTGTTAGTAATTGTCGTTGTATTATTTGTAATTAACTTTCCCATGAACCCCCCACATAACACATAACGTGTATTATTTTTGCACGGATGCTTTTTCTCAGGCAAAGTCTCCTTTTAAGCCAGTCGATACTGATTTATTGAGGATTTGCAACAATGGAGAATATGTCCGTCTCTTCTTCATTTAAACCTGCACCCTTTAAATGTCGATTTCATTTGTGTGAAAACGGGAAGCAAGTTGCTTTTCCCAAATTAAAAATGTTACAAACAAGTTGTCAACAAATTGCATACCTTCATTAATCTGTGCAAATGGCTCCTAACGCTGCTATTGATTGTGATTCGGGCTCTTTTAATGTTATTTAAAGTCAT